ACCTTGTCTCAAATATATATATTTGCTATATATATATATACACATATATATACTAAGTAATTTACTTGATGAATCTTGATGAATGTAATTAATATTTAAATAAGTTATCATTACTCTCACAGGTACCTAGAAATTACTTTTGCTGTAAAATATTGACTCATCATTTGGGCTCCCAAGGCAATAAAAACCCAGCATCTCTACCTTCATTTGTATCTGTCTCCCTTACTCTCTGGATATATCATCATATGTATCACAACTTAGCATTAGCTATGCTCATTATTAAAGAAGTGTCTGTTTAAAAACCAAGGCTAGCTAACCTATTTCCAACAGTTCAGAGAAACTGAGGCATCTTGTCACAGCTGTCATGATGTCCTATTCTGGATCCCAAAAGGATGCCTGAATGTCTCCAGACATTGTTTTAAATCTGTAGTTATCTTGGATTCCAGGAACTGCAGCACCTCAAAGAGAGATTGTCCCCTCAGCTGTGGGAACTTCTACATGCCGTGTAAAAGCGGAGCAGAGCTCAGCTAATGATCAACCAGATCACAGAGATAAGGACCAAGCAGGCCACACAGACCAAGCCTGCTTAGTTATGCTTCCTCAATACTTCCTCTGTAAAAACCCGAAGCTCACATCAGTACCCCATGATGGACTTGTGGTCACTGAACCCCACTATCCATACCTCCCAACACAGCCACATTGCTTAACCCTTCCCTGCCTGTCACCACTATGCCTCTGGAATTGGTGTGGTGTGGCAGACAGATGAGCGACTGGGATTCTCAGAGCTCTTGCCCTAAAACTCCAGTGACATCACCATAGTGGTTTTTATTACATTTCTCTAGCAACTAATAATGCTGCACACGCCTTTTTCATGCTTATGCTCATCTCTAAAGTAGCTTTTCTTTGTCCATTGAGTTCTGCCTCCTCACTGTGAGGGTGAAAACTTACATTCCCATTGTCTTGTAGCTAGAACATTCTCTTGTAGGCGTGTTTCCCAGACTCTGCCAATCAGACAGATGAATGTGGTTGTCTCCAGAAGAAGCTGTTTGGTGCCCCAGTGGTGGCAACGACAAATCTTGGCTCACAATTGGCATCAAAACATCACTAGGAGTATTTGTCCCAGTGTTCAGGGACATAACAGCAGCGTCTTTCTTTTTCCTTCATTCTTCCTATTTTTTTTTTTCCTGAGACAAGATTTCTCTGTGTAGCCCCTGGCTGTCCTGGAACTTGCTCTGTAGACCAGGCTGGCCTCAAACTCAGCGAGATCCACCTACCTCTGCCTCCTGAGTTCTGGGATTAAAGACACGTGCCACCATGCCTGGATAACAGCAGTTTCTTTCTTTCTTTTTATTTTTTTAATTTAACTTTATTTGATGTGCATTGATGTCAGATCCCTTGGAACTGGAGTTACAGACAGTTGTGAGCTGCCATGTGGATCCTGGGAATTGAATCCAGGTCCTTTGGAAGAGCAGCCAGTACTCTTAACCACAGAGCCATCTGTCCAGCCCCCCAACAACAGTTTCTTTCTCTCTTTCTCCCTTCCTTCCTTCCTTCCTTCCTTCCTTCCTTCCTTCCTTCCTTC